CCATAAAATTGCTGGAAATATGCAAATTTTCGATCACCAAAAAGTGATCGGAAATAGCTGATTTTCGGTGGGAAACTTGTGTTCTGATTACATTTTCGACCACTTTGGGTCGCGGAAAAACCATCTTCGGTATTTCCGACAACCATATAGCTAGTCTGTGTTATTGAATCCTTTTTCAGTTGCTTTGTTCCAATCCTGTAATATTATAAGATTCCTCAATCTTTTCAAAGTTCTAGAACATAAGATTAAGGTTACTTAAGTTTAGGATAATATAATCCAATGATCATGCAAGAACAAAGATCAAGGGTTACTTAACTTTAGGATATATAATACATGAACAAAAGATCCAAGGATCTTCAAAATACACTGTCTTTCATAAACTGCATATTAGAAACAAACAAATTTCAGGATAAGTAAATTAAAAAAAAAAAAAAAATTAGGCTTGGGGTTACTCAGTTTCTTCTGATTCTGCTGGCTCCTGTACAGTATTCTTTAATTAGCTGCTTCAATTTTGTTCTTCTCTTTCCCTGTCTTCTGTTTGTGTTGCTGGACAACAGAAATTTGATCCTGGGAAGTCGAGAAGTGAGCTATTTTACCTCTGTAAAACCAAATAATTCAGTAATCTATTAGTGAACTGATTAAGCACACTTTTAATATTCTGATATTGAATCACATATCTGAAAAAGTAACCTTTAAATAATTTTAGTCTACTATAATAAAGCCACAACTTTTAGAAATAAAATTGATAAAATTATTCCCGCTAAATGAAAACGCAGTCATTTAGGTCTGTAATAACAATAGTAGTAATTAAAGAATATTATGTGAAACGAATCTTTCAACAAAGCATAATATCAAATCTAGATTGCACTTCTTAATAACAGTCTACAATATAAACTGATACGGAGTATCAATTAAGCAACTCATTACATTTCATATATCTAGGAAACTGCACAGTACATATCACATAAACTTTTAGTCTTCCAAGACTAATTTGTACAGACAACTTTAATTGAGGATGTTTAACTAATGAAAACATATATGGTTCACAAAGAGTTGTCATATATAAAAAATTCACCAAAAAAAAAAAAGAGTTGTCATATAAAATACATACACTTCTACTAGAACTCCCTATCTGTGCCAGCATATTATAAATAAAAATAATAAATAAAAATAATAAAATATAACGTCGGCTATCTATATAGCCGACGTCGTAAGCTATTTTAATTTTTATTTTTATAAATATATTTAATATAACATTTATCAACTTTTATAAAATTTGTCAAATTACGACTTCAATAGACTTTTTCTTCTCTAATATAAATCATTGTAATCCATCCCTCAGACTCAAACTTCTAAATTTTCTGGACTAACTTTTTCTTCCAAATTTCTAAACTTTATCTAGGAACCTTTTCTCCCTAAATACATGAACAAAGAAAACTTTTCATCTATCACCAACAAATTCTACTATATGTTTCATAATATTCATTTTATTCTTTCTACTAATTTTTTTATCCCTAACTCCTAACATTTCTCTACGAAATTTTTCTCCCTATTACTTGAACATAGCAAATTTGTTACTTATCACCGTCAAATTTTACTATATATTTCATATTATTCGTATAAATACTTATATATTTTTCATTTAGATTCTTTCTACGAACCATTTTTCCCTAACTTCTAAACATTCTCTACAAACATTTCCCCCCTAAATACCTAAACAAAGGAAACTTTTCATCTATCACCATCGAAGTTTACTATATCTTTCATAATATTCATATAAATACTAGTATATTTTGATTTTTATTATTTCTACAAACTTTTTATCCTTAACTTCTAAACTATTTCTACAAACTTTATCTTCCTAAATACCTTAACATAACAAACTTTTCATCCATCACCATCAAACTTTACTATATGTTTCATAGTATTCATATAAATACTTGTATATTTTGATTTTGATTCTTTCTACGAACTTTTTATCCCTAACTTCTAAATTTTCTCTACAAACTTTTTCTCCCTAAATTCCTGAATAAAGAAAACGTTGCATCTGTCATCATCAAATTTTACTATATATTTTATAATATGCTTGTTGCATCTCGCAACCCGAAATTGTTATTGTGAATAATAGCTCATTTGCTTAATGATGTAGCAATATATAAAATATGCTTGTTGCATATCGCAACCCGAAATTGTTATTGTGAATAATAACTCATTTGCTTAATGATGTAGCAATATATTCAGTATCAATATATATATATATATATATATATATATATATATATATGTGTGTGTGTGTGTGTGTGTGTGTGTGTGTGTGTGTGTGTGTGTGTGTATTCACCGTATACATTCACCGTTTTATTTTATTCAACTAGTAAGTATATTTTTAAATACTATAAATTTTTTAAAAATTGAATATTATTATGAATTTTTATATGAAATAATTTTGTTTGTAGGCGAATAGGTGATTATCAATATTATATAAGTGATTGGTATATATGTCCTGTTTGGTAAATGGCTGTTAGTTAGTTGATAATTAATTGATAACATACATTAGCTGATTATATAAAAGTGTTTGGTATAATTTCTTTTCTCAAAAAGCTAATTGAAAAAGTTGTTTTGAGTAGCTTTTTGAATTTTTACATTTTGGAGTTACAAAAAGCCAATTAACCAAATATTTATATTGATTTTTTAACCATGTCAAATAATTAATAGTAGTTAAATAAGTCAAAATTGGCTGATAGGCTAACATTTTACTAATCAGGGCCATAATGTCTCACTGTTCTATATATGGAGAAAAATAATAAAGTTAAGAATGTTGATGTGAAAGAAGAACTAGATTGTTATAATAATAATAATAATAATATTATTATTATTATTATTATTAGTAATGGTTAAACCAAGTATTAAATTAGTTTGTTATGAATAATGCATGGATGCAGTAGGTGGGTTATGCATGGTATCACTACATAGATTGTGGCCTTAATTGTAGCTTTACATGGAGCATTACTCCTAATCTTTAGCTTTATTAGTGGTTATCTTTTAGTATAAATAGGTTACTATTGTTCATTCATTAATAATCAATTAAAAGAGTTATTTCCTCTCTCTCTCTCTCTCTTCTCAATATATAAATATAATATATAGATATATTATATTTAATATATATTATAGATATATTATATTATATTTAATATATATTATATTAAATATATTATATTTAATATATCTAACATTTGGTATCAGAGCCAGTCAACCTTTCAACCCCGAAATATTTCCCGTAGTGAAATATGGCAACAAATTTCAATATTGTATGGTCGGGTCCCAAATTGGACGGGAAACTCGATTACAATTATTGACAAATTATGATGTCCACACATTTGCAAGCTCAAAATCTTTGGAGCTTTGTTGATCCCGGTCTACCCGAAGGAGCTGATGCAGCCGCTATACGGCGAGATAAATTGGCCTTGGGTCAGATTCACCAAGGTGTTCATTATTCCATTTTTGGGCAATTAGCTCGTGCTCAAATAGCAAAACAAGCTTGGGACATCTTAAAGGTGTCACACAAAGGAGTCGATCGGGCACAGAAGTCTAAGTTGCAGTCGTTGAGAAGGTTGTATGATAATTGTGAGATGACCTCTACAGAAACAGTAGATGCGTATTTCACTCGTCTTATTGATATGGTGAATAAGATGAGGCTATATGGAGATACGATTGAAGATGGTGTAGTGGTTGAAAAAGTTCTTCGAACTATGCCGATGAAGTATGACCATGTGGTGGCTTCGATCACAGAGTCACACAAAACCGAGCTCTTATCAATTGCAGAGCTGAAAGGTATGGTAGAAAGTCATATTGACAGGATTGCGTCAAAATCGGAACCACTAGCAGAAGAAGCTTTGAAGAGTCAAGTCACCCTTAATGTGACTGGCACTAATCAAAGAGGTGGAGGATCTGGTAGAGGTCGTGGAAGAGGAAGAGGAGGTTCTAGTGGAAGAGGTCGTGGTAACTTCAACCAAGGAGGAAGACGTGGTAACTCCAACCAAGGAAGAGGTGGAGGTAATACCAAACAAGGTAAATTTCCATTTCATTGCTACAATTGTGGCAAGTATGGGCACAAGATTGCAGATTGTTGGTATAATGAGGACAACAATCGTGGAAATCAAGCAAACATTGCTGAAAACACTGCTGAAAAGTCTGGTGAGAGTTATGAAACTTTACTTTTAGCCAGCGATAGTTTTTCTGCAGATAAGAACATATGGTTCTTGGATACTGGGTGTAGTAACCATATGTGTGGGAAGAAAGAATTGTTTTCTGAACTGGATGAATCAGTCCAGTCTGAAGTGACATTTGGCAATAAGTCAAAGGTGCCAATTTTGGGAAAAGGTAAAATCTCTATTCAGTTGAAGGATGGTACTCGCAATTTTATATCCGATGTGTTCTATGTTCCTGAACTACACCAAAATTTGTTGAGTATGGGTCAGTTGTCAGAAAAAGGATATAAGATACATATTGCTCAGGGGTGTTGTACCATTGCAGATGCTAAAGGAGTTTTGATTGCAAAGGTAAATATGTCTCAAAATCGACTATTTCCTTTGAAAATTAAGCATACTCTCCTTGCTTGCTTTAATTCTGAAGTTTGTGATGATAGTTGGTTATGGCATATGCAGTTTGGGCATTTTCATTTTTCTGGATTACACTATCTTGCGAGAAAGGAACTTGTTTCTGATTTACCTGTTGTGAATGTCCCTGATCGTATATGTGAGATTTGTGTGATTGGGAAGAAACATAGAGATCCCTTTCCCGTGGGCAAGTCAAGGAGAGCTACAAAACAGGTGGAGATTATTCACTCAGACCTATGTTCGTTGGAGGTTCCCTCACATGGAGGTTGTAAGTACTTTATTACTTTCATTGATGATTTCAGTAGAAAAACATGGGTTTACTTTCTGAAGCAAAAGTCTGAAGCATGTGATGTTTTCAAACAATTTAAGGCTTTTGTTGAAAAGCAGAGTGGTTATGAAATTAAAATCTTGAGAACTGATAGAGGTACAGAATATATTGCCTGTGATGATTTTATGAAAGAAAAGGGTATTCAGCACCAAATGACAGCTAGATACACTCCACAACAAAATGGAGTGGCTGAGAGGAAGAATAGGTCTATCATGGATATGGTAAGGTGCATGTTGAAATCCAAGAATCTGCCTAAGCCTTTTTGGGCAGAAGCTGTTGCTTGTGCTGTCTATGTGTTGAATAGGTGTCCAACTAAAAGTGTCCGTGATAAGACACCCGAAGAAGCTTGGAGTGGGAGAAAACCCTCTATCAAATATCTCAAGGTTTTTGGATGTTTGGCATATGCACATGTGCCAGATCCATTGAGAAAGAAGTTGGATGATAAAGGTGAGAAGTGCATATTCATTGGTTATAGTGACGCTTCAAAGGCTTATAAACTGTACAATCCTGAAACTAAAAAGGTTGTTATAAGTCGTGATGTCACTTTTGATGAATATGGTGCTTGGGATTGGTTAGCTAAAGATGAAAGTTCAGTTGTTATTCCTGCTGTTGAAAATATTGTTGATGAGCAACCGATTCCAGATAATGTCCAATCTCCTTCACAGCCAGAGTCGTCAGTTCGACGATCTCAGCGCGAGCGCCACTTACCAGCTCGCTTGCAAGATTATGTTTTGGGTCATGATAATGACCTGTCTGATGAAGAGATTATTCAATTTGCTCTCTTTGCAGATTGTGATCCTTTAACTTTTGAGGAGGCTGCTACGGAAACTCATTGGCTTAAGGTGATGGATGAAGAGATACGTGTCATTGAAAAGAATGGTACTCGGGAATTAACAGAATTACCTCCTGAAAAGAAGTCAATTGGAGTCAAGTGGCTTTACAGAACGAAATACAAGTCAGTATATCCAACTTGAAGACAGAGACATTTCTTAAATTGAAGAAGGAGATATTGGGATGACCAATATATCCAACTTGGTTTAAAGGAGGCAATGTTATAATAATAATAATAATAATAATAATATTATTATTAGTAGTAATGGTTAAACCAAGTATTAAATTAGTTTGTTATGAATAATGCATGGATGCAGTAGGTGGGTTATGCATGGTATCACTACATAGATTGTGGCCTTAATTGTAGCTTACATGGAGCATTACTCCTAATCTTTAGCTTTATTAGTGGTTATCTTTTAGTATAAATAGGTTACTATTGTTCATTCATTAATAATCAATTAAAAGAGTTATTTCCGGCCTCTCTCTCTCTCTTCTCAATATATAAATATAATATATAGATATATTATATTTAATATATATTATAGATATATTATATTATATTTAATATATATTATATTAAATATATTATATTTAATATATCTAACATGCTTAATGATGTAGCAATATATTCAGTATCAATATATATATATATATATATATATATATATATATATATATATATATGTGTGTGTGTGTGTGTGTGTGTGTGTGTGTGTGTGTGTGTGTGTGTGTGTGTGTGTGTGTGTGTGTGTGTGTGTGTGTGTGTGTGTGTGTGTGTGTGTGTGTGTATTCACCGTATACATTCACCGTTTTATTTTATTCAACTAGTAAGTATATTTTTAAATACTATAAATTTTTTAAATTGAATATTATTATGAATTTTTATATGAAATAATTTTGTTTGTAGGCGAATAGGTGATTATCAATATTATATAAGTGATTGGCATATATGTCCTGTTTGGTAAGTGGCTGTTAGTTAGTTGATAATTAATTGATAACATACATTAGCTGATTATATAAAAGTGTTTGGTATAATTTCTTTTCTCAAAAAGCTAATTGAAAAAGTTGTTTTGAGTAGCTTTTTGAATTTTTACATTTTGGAGTTACAAAAAGCCAATTAACCAAATATTTATATTGATTTTTTAACCATGTCAAATAATTAATAGTAGTTAAATAAGTCAAAATTGGCTGATAGGCTAACATTTTACTAATCAGGGCCATAATGTCTCACTGTTCTATATATGGAGAAAAATAATAAAGTTAAGAATGTTGATGTGAAAGAAGAACTAGATAAAGAATTTTATGATATATTATAATATTTTTGTAAGAAAATCTATTAGATAATAAATATAAATATAATAAGAGTCAATGTTGGTAACTGGGTTATAATGAGAATAAAAATTATGTTCGTGTAATAATATTGTTAGGAACAAGTGTACTTAGATTTTGATGATACTAATCTTGCTAGGACTGTAGGCCCCTCTTTTTTATATTTCTTTTATTAGAACTTTTGTGTTAGACGAAAGCAATCTCAACTCACCATGTGATTCGGTTAAGTAGCATATATACACTAATCAGAGTTGTGTTTAGCAATTTAGGTCTACCTAAAAAAGAGAAGATCAAGAGAAGAACGAGAGAACAATAATATAGACCGAAAGTTGGAAGGATCTAACTCTCGTATAGCCATCAAATGATGAGGAAGATCATTTGACTAAAAGGAAAAAACGAAAGATGAGAGCTATCTTTCGTGTGACCCTCCCGAGATCGTTAAGTCTAAGTCAGACTTAAAAGACAACCCTTATAAATGAGACAAGAAGATTGTTGTCTAAATCTTAATGCTGGGCAATCATCCTAGACAAAAGGTGTCAAAGGAATGATATACACAAAAACCAAGGAAACATTAAATGATTGGTACTTCATGTCAGTGAGAAAGGACAAAAAGCCATGTTGCTTTTTGACTCCAACGGCTACACAATACAGCCACAATAAATGCTTCGTGCCCAGTGGATAATACACGCTAGTTAATAGGTTTAAAATTCCATCTCCCTCCAACGGATGAATTTCTCCTCACCTATAAATACCTCTCTTCACCACTGAAGAAATGGTTGGTTGTTCAACTGATTTTATCTAAGAAAAGCTCTTCAAACAAGTTCATCCAAAAAGCTTTTCAAAAACCAGTGTGTGTGATTGTGAAGTTTTTAAAGAAGTTCATCCAGATTTTTTCTTCACAATCCCAAAAGAAGTCTTGCATCATTATAAGAAGATTCATCCGACCATCAAGTCAAGACTTCAAGCTGTTGGAGAAACACATCAAATCCATCCAACACTCAACTCTGAAGAAGAAGTTGATAGAGGCGGAGTAAACTCTAGTAGTTGAAAAACCTTTCAAGTAGCTGTCCGGCTTAGTGATCAAGGAAGCTAGCTTGAGTAGTTTGTACTTGGAGTGATAGTGCAAACCCTTTCACAAGTTGTGAAAGAAGAGTGGAGTAGGCTTTGTTGATAGCCGAACCACTATAAAATCTCTCTCTCCATCTCTCTTTACTACTATCTATTTGGCATTGCATGCATATTGTCCATACCTTAAACTTTCATAACGAAATCGTGCAAAATTCATCTTAAAACGTAAATACAATTTCCGCTGTGCATAACCCCGAAAGGAGTTAATCTAAAAAATTGATTAGAGTCTATTCACCCCCCCCCCCCTAGACTCACTTTCGACCCTACCGGGGCCAACAAATATGAATTGATAACTTGTATATTTTTATTTATTCCTTGTACGATGATAAGAAACTTTCAAAGTTACAATCTTTCTCATTTTATTTTTTCCATATGTACAAACTTTAGTAACGGAATATTCTGTTAAATTTTTATTATTTTTTACTTACTTGTTGCAAAATATTTGCTAACATTTTAACAACAACAACAACAACTACGATGACGACGATGGGCATTTTGTTTTTATTATTATTATTATAATAATTAAATTAGTGTACAAAAAAGGAACTCATCATGTCATTTTTAAATTTTTAAAATTTTATATTCTTTTTACAACTATATTCGTCATTGTGGTAAGAATTAAAATATAATAATATTTACTTAATTTGATTTGTTCCTTTCAACTATTAAAGAAAAAAGTGAAAGCTATTATTTTTTGACTCTTCATCCTAAAAGAATATTTATATCAAACTATAATTATTCTAAAAATACATCGTCTTATCTTTGCTTAAATCAAACATTATTTTTGTAGCATAAATTCTATTTAAGCTTTGAAATCCAAGATTGCAAAGTGTCTTGAGCTTGAAAATTAAAAGAAACAACAAATCTACTTTAATCTAAGCTATTCTAGAGCTAACCCTAGAAAAGGTAAGGGAAAGTTCCGCCAATGGAATCAAGTAAAGCCACAGTTGTTACGGGATACCTCCATATATAGATTCTCACAGTGAGAGCACCACTTCTTACGACCATAGATAGAACCGTAACCAATAAGAAATCTTTCGATTAGGTTTCTAGCTCATAACCGTATTTGAGTCACAGTAAACTCCAATTCCAAACTTCGAGCATATGAGAACTCTAATAAGAATAAGAAGAATAAAGAAGAACATGAGCAAGAATATTATATTTCTCTCTGGTTCCTCAATATTCGTATACAATGGATCTATTTATACTATATTACTAAAACATATAATAAGTAAAGTACTAAAATTACTAATAATTAATCTACTAAAATTATACTAAATATACAAGGTAACTAACACATATAACCAGCTTGGTTGGCGTGAGTGACCGAGCACTCTCATCTCTTAAGAGAAGTCGGGAGCATTTTGCCCCTTAATTGGGAGTATGGTTGTTGGGCGTCGGCCGGGTTGACCGAGTCCAGCCCCTGCTCGATTCGAGATGTGGTGCTGTGGCTTACCATGGAGAAATGTGGTTAAATAGTTAATGTCCACCTATTTATCACCAATTGATTTCAAGTAGGATATGGTAACCAGGTACCATAGAATTTTGTGGTTAAGCATGCTTGACTTCCGGCAATCCCGAGATGGGTGACCCCTGGGAAGTAAGTATACTGCACCGCTGAGATTCTGTTATCCTCTAATTACACCTCCAAATTGATTATTTTCTTTTAGGCTCAAAATTAATTAAGTCACCAATTATTTCTTTCCTTTTATACATATTTCTAAATTGAAATACTAATTATCATTGAAAAAATATATAAATATAATTAGATAGCACGCAAGTTACCCAAAGACTGCTACTGCCTACTAGTGGATTAGGCACCCATCACATCTATTCTCTATGTATATTAAAGCAAAATGAGATACTGTAAACAGTTTCCGCCTAATCCAATACTAAGTTACAACCAATACTAAGTTTAAGCCAATCAAAATCAATTACTAAGTTTAAGCCAATCAATCAAAATCAATTACTATGTTTAAGCCAATCAAGTCAATTACTAAGATATCTAAACATCTATATATATTTCACATCCTCTGCAATACAAACACTATCAAGAAAGTTGTGATAGCCTATGAAATCCAGAAACTCTTCGCTTGCGAGTTGTGAGAGCGTATGAAATCCCCGAGATAAAATCTTCTTCCATAATAAAATCCAAGGAAGTTGTCTTCCATGACCAGCAGGTAAGTTCTTTTACAAATCTCAATTCAAATCAGGTTACATCAACAGTTTATACGAGACCACGTTAAAAGCTCTATTCTATGAAAATTGAGAAACTGAAGGAATTGTGAACATCAGGATGGGATCTTTGTGTGTCTGAATTTTGAATTTTAAACAATTGAATGATGGTGGTTTTGGTTTTGTTTTGTTCTTTTTTTTTTTTTTTTTTTTTTTTTTTTTTTTTTGAACAATGAACGGATAGACATTTTTTGTCTAAGGAATTTCAATGGGGGATGAGATGCCATTCCTATTTCGAATCTAATAGAAGTTTTATTATGTTTTTCTATATTTCATGATGCATCTGTCTAAGTTATTCCTAAATCCTTATTACTATTTAGAATAAGGTAGCAACAGTGCTTTCTATGCTATTTCATAATATTTTGCAGGTTTAGAAGTACATATACAAGAACACATCACACATAGCAAATGAGAGGATCGGACTCCAAAAGCTTATAGAATTTTATTATTCTTATCTATATTTCAAGGTAGATCTCTCTAAGTTATTCCTAATTCCTTATTACCAATTAGAATCACGTAACAAACAGTGCTTCCTTTTGACTTTGGGTTTCTATTTTGCAGGTTTTGGAGTACATATACAAGAACACATCACACAGCAATAAATATATTAGGGGGATGCTATTATATATTCAATTATTTATGTAAGCGCATTTTATTTCTACCCCCTAATATATTCAATTATTTATGTAAGCGCATTTTATTTATTTTACCCTTATGAACCGTGAACCGGCGGTTCTGGATCCAGTTCGCGATTTTGAACTGTCTTTATTTTAAAATTTTATTTTTTATTTTAAAATAGTCTAAATTCAACAATAAATGTATTTTATTTTTTTCAGTTCGGAACATGAACCGGCCATTCCGGTTCGCGATTTTAATAAACTCTAAATATCGCGTTTTGATTATAAATTGTAATTGAAATATTTTGGTTTGGTTGCTATAGTATCTGTTTGGTTTGAACCCAATTATAGTAATAATTTGTTTGGAGAAAAAAAATAAATGAAATATTAATTTTAAATATTTATTTTAAGGGTAAATATGTTCATTTAACATTTCAGGGGGAAAAAGAGCCACTTAAATAATTCAGGGGGAAAAAGTGCTATAAGTATATAACTTAGGGGGAAAAAGTGCCATTTTCTCTTTATATATTTATATATTATTATATACATATATATCGTGCATCATATAGAGTTATTAGGATCGTAATTAGGAATGATATATATAATTGGGTAGAATAATTTAATTATATATATATATATATATATATATATATATATATATATGTATGTATGTATATATATTGTATATATATATATATACACACACACACATACATATATAGAAGAGCACTCGTATGTGGTCATGTCATTAGGTGTGGCGGTGTGATCGTATCTGTGTCGTTGAATCAGTTTAATATAACGGCAGTAGCTAATTATGAGGATTTGAGAATTTTCACGCGTGGGGGTATTATGGTAATTAATGTGGCCATTTATAGCGGCCGGGTTCCAAAATACACCAACAGTGTTGACAACATGCACCAATAGTGTAATAAAACACACCACAGTGAAACACACCGATAGTGTATTCCCGAACACTGTATGGTGCATATCTAATGGCGCGTTTCTGGGGATGCGTACCTAATTTGTGTATGTTTTTTGTTGTGCATTTCATAACATGGATTGTGTATATTTTTATAACAATTGGTGCGGCCGCACTGACCACACGGGAAGACGTTGCCGCACCTAAACTTGGCACCAATGAGAATCTACAAATACACCAGAGTAAGGCTAATAATGCACCAATTACACAAATAAAACACACAACAATATGATTTTTCCTATTTTGGTGCATGATGACAAGTTTACCCTTGCAGTTCGCTGGGTAGGAGAATGTGCGCGAAAATACTAGAAGAATCTTGATTAATGTGATTCATTGGATCTATCTAATCTAATGACATGTAATTGACCATATGACCACACCTAACAACATGGCCACATATGATCTTCTCTCTCTCTCTCTCTCTCTCTCTCTCTCTCTCTCTATATATATATATATATATATATATATATATATATATATATATATATATATATATATATATATATATATATATATATATAAATTTAAAAGTAACATATTAAAAGGTTTGAATTGATGTAATAAATTATTTTAAAATTATTTGACAGATTCGAGTGCGGCAAAAGTCTCCCTGCAATTAAGAATTTTTATTTGTAATTATGAAATTAATTACCATATATAAAAATAGTCTATTAAAATACTGAATATTTATTTATATTATAATTATTTCATTATGACGTATGTAATTGTCAATTCCATTATTTACAATATACATAATCTACTTTAATAATGTAAAAAAAAAAAAAAAAAACATTAACTACTACAAATTTGTAGGCCGTGCATCATACGTGTATCATATTAGTAAAAACGTATAGAATTAATTTCTTTTTACTCCATTCCCTCTTTAATTAGGAAATTTTTTAAATTTAGAGGCCAACATTGATTAGTTGCATAGCAATTCGCAATCAAGGGGAGAGGGAGAATACAATTTTACCTTAAATACAGCTCTATCAAAATAACGGTATTCTTGAAAATCCCTAAAACTCCTCCAAACCCTCGATCAGCTCGTAGGATACAATGGGCGCATCGGAGAAGAATGCGACGGCGCGTGTTTCAACGCTACCTCTTCTTCTTGATCTTCTTCCCCAAGACATTCTCTTCGAGATCCTCTCCAAGCTCCGTGCTAAATCGCTAGTACGATTCAGGTGCGTTTCTAAACTCTTTTACGCTCTCATAGCTGATCATGGTTTTGGTGTTCTGCATCGCAGCTTGTCCTTGACACTTCCCAGTAGGGCGGGCATCCTCATCGCTATAAGGCCGCGCTCCTCCGGTTCCTCCCATGCGTATTACACCATAAATTTCAGCGAAGAAAACCCCCAGCGGCGGGGAATGCTCCAAGCCAACCGTCTAGGCTACTTGGACGCTGAACCATTTCTGAAAGGCTGTCTACACTCCTCCTGGGACGGCCTGATTTGTCTGTCCAGACTCAATGGAGACGTAGTTGTTTGCAACGTTAGTCCAGGACAGCGTATTTCCCTTCCAAGAATCCAATTCCCTTCAACCTGTGCACTGTTGGGGTTCGATGCACAATCTAAAAGATACAAGGTTTTGATGATTGATCTGAGGAGGAGCAGCTTCGGGTATAAGCATTGGGTTTTGACGGTAGGAGTGGATAAATCATGGAGGGAGATCAACTATTCCCACCCCTTTGGTGGCTATGGCTGCCCTAACTATTCCAATACTACTAATACTAGTGTCTACATTGGCGGGGTTATCTATTCCTATAATTGGCTGACTAAATCTGACCTTCCAAACTTCAACATAGTAGCATTTGAAGTTGGGTCTGAGAGTTGTTCTTTGATACCATTTCCGGCCGAAGTTTCATCATCATCGCAGCATTATTCAGTTCATTCTTCAGCTTCATTTACAAAAGCATATCACGTTCTCAGAAATTTTGAATTGCTACAAGTTGATGGAGGTCGAGTGGCTATTGTTCTTGTTCGCCAAATAGACCGCCAATTCTACATGGATGTTTGGACTTGGGAGAAATCTAAAGAATGTTGGGAGAAGACTATTATGACCATTCCATTAGAAGAGAGTAGAATAATCTACGGAGTTACAGGAGTTACATACCACCTGCGCTATACTACGAATCCTGTTGGGGAGATTGTGTTGTTATGTATGAATAGTAAACGATTTACCATTTTGGTTTGTAACTTGAAAAATGAGGTTTGGAGACAATTTAATGTGGGTGGAGTTGAGGAATTTCCAAATCTTTGTCTCACCGATGTTAGAATATACAGGACTATGGACAGTGTGTTTTCTTTGGAGCAGGAGAACTTTGGGGTTTGAAAAGTAGGTTTAGTTTGGGGTTAACGAGTGCGGGATCCGGGGTTTCAATATGATTAGTATAGGCACAGTAGGGATATCCAACTTTGGAAGGGTTCGAGGCAAACCCCTAAGTTTATTCAAAGCTAAAGGTTTGAGAAAACAATGCCTAAGCAAAATTTGATCTATTGGTGATTTTTTTTATTTTTATTTTCTAGCAGATGAACACATTTTTGGGATTCTTGCTGAACTTCATGTGCAGGATATGATGAATGTGGCTGGCCTGCCCCGCCATGCCAAAGCCCGCCAATCAATTTTTTCACTTTGTTAATTTAAAAAAAAAAAAAATCATTGTACAATATCCTTAAAAAAAAAAAAAAGAGTCACTGTATAGATGTACAGTAGCACTACCTAGTATTGTATTCCTATAAATCTATAATCCTATAAGTTATAACACACTAACACAATTACACAAACCAAAATAATATATATTAAATACTAAATATATATACAAAATATATATGTATTAGCAGGTCGCGGGCTAAACCCATGACCCGCCTGACCCGCCCCGCCTAGACCCGTGACCCAGGCGGGACGGGCTAAAAAGCCCGCCTCCTGGCGGATCAAAATTTGAAGAACCCGTCCCCTACCTACGGCGGTACGGGACGGGTCGACCCGGCGGGTAAAACCCATTTTTGACGGCTCTAGCCTAGGGTTCCTAGGAGGACAACCACCTAGCACTTAAGCACGATTTTTGCAACACTGTTCACAACTTTTTCTTAAAAGAAAGGAAGAAAGGGTCGCTGATTTTTTTTTTAAATGGCATTCGCGACCCCTTTATTCATCAATGCAACAATGGAAAGAGACAATGTAGAATAGAAAGCTTTTATTCATTAACCTCCTCAATACAATGATACAACAAGTATATGTATATATAGGCTTCGAATTTGGTGCAACCCCTATACTAGATGAGATCATATATGAGATCTCATGATATCCATTGATTCATTTTCCATAAATGGTTGAGATTATAAGAGATTGTGAAAGTAATTAAGGATATATTTAAATCAAAAGGATTAAATAGTAATTGTAGACATATGTTTAATTGTGGATATAATTCAATTGGAATCTTAAGCATTATATTAGGGAGATTATGAATGGAAATTGATATTTTAAATTATTAGGGACCCTATCAATGGTAATAACTAATTATATTTTGTACATCTGAAATTTTAAATTATGGAAAATTTTACGGCGGTGTGTGCGTGGGTGTGGAATGGTGTGTGCGTTTTATAGTTTGTCATGCTGTACACCTCTTGTTACAGAAAACCGCACACGCCATTCCACACCCGTGCACACACCGTCGTAAAATTCCCCACAATTAAAAAAAAAAAAAAAACACAACAAGCCCAATACTATATGTACTACGCACTGATTATCTACTCGAAATTCAAACGCCAATACCCAAATTAGATTCGTATATTTTTGTTTTCTTTTAGATATGTTTCGCACACGGCCGAAACTAGTAAAACACAAACCAAAATGTACATGTCTGTATCACAAAACGCACATAGAAATGAAAAAAACCAGCACGCCATGGTGTACGAGCCCTGTTACAGTAAAACGCACACACCATTCCACACCCACGCACACACCGCCGTAAAATTCCAAAGAAAATCACTAAGAGAGAGAGAGAGAGAAATATTGATTAAGGAGATCTGACATAACGCTACAAATCTTTATAAACATGGAAATAAATGAAATGGAAAGTAATAAATATAGTGCTTAAGGACAAAAAGATCCATGCTTCATCTAAAATCAGTATAACATGGGATCCAAGTGGTAATCAATCTGAATCATCAAAAAATTAAAATCAACGATTAGGGAGTGTGCTCACGGGCTCGACTGACTAGGGGGTGTGCACCGGATTCAAAAATAAATAAATAAATAAATAAATAAATAAATAAATATATATATATATATATATATATATATATATATATATATATATATATATATATATATATAAAGACAATAATAATGCTGACTGCTAACCTTTACCACTGTTACGTATTGAATGCCCATAATGTCCTTAATAATAATATATTTATAACATCCCCCTTGGACATTATCATGTCATAACCATGCCTAGTTAAAAACTCCCTAGTTAAATCCTTTGGGAAAAACGTAGTCGAGTAAGAGTACATGATGTATGGGTAGTTCAGGTGTTGTTTGGGTTGAGTCATTAAAAACCTTATCCAAAGAAAATCCTGTGGGAATAAATTTAGTTAAGGAAATTAAAAGAGTATAATCATAAGCTTTCAGGGCATAATCTTCAGGATTTTGTCTATTTAAGTATTTATTTGTAGTTTCCACATTGACATTACTATATCATACTCATGCCTCATTAAAAATCACACTAGAAAAATCCAATGGGAAAGAGCTAGTGAGGAAAAGAGTACATGATATGTATTCATTAATGTGTAGCAAAAGAGTACAAGTGTTAGTCTTTAAAACCCAATCTTCAGGATTATTTAAGTCTAATCTTCAGGATTGATTCTAGTAGATGTCACTTCCTCTGAAGATAACAATCTTCAATCAAGGTTTACATGTTCTAAAATAAAACCATTGTTTCAAAAGAGTGTAGAGAGGAGATATGGTACAATATTCAAGATTGTCACTAGAGTTAATCATTTTATACAATAATCTCGTGACTCTTATGGAGCTCACATGGATTGAATATTTTAGTTATATATTTAGTCTAATATTCTTTAAACATACCACTTATTATATGTATACCACAAGCTTTATTGCTCTCATATAGGACAGTGAAGGTAAAATAAAACAGAACTAGTTTGGGATTTGGCATCATGGAGATAAGAGAGAGTCAATATCCAAATGGTCTATGAAAGTCACACATTGGTATATCGCATGAATTTCAAAATCGTTTATAAATCGAAGATACTGGAGGATATTTGAATATTATTCCGATATTTAATTGTAGGAGGAACACTTAGTAATTTTATCGCAAAGACGATGTCAGTCCTGATGCGATTACAGAATTTCGATCTAGTTCTATAATAATGCTCCAAAAGCAATGAATTAATGGAATTTTAGTCCCAAAATTGTCCTCATTACCTTTTTCGGGTCTAAATGGTCTCTTATCTACTTCAAGATATTATTGGACAACTGTTAGTGTGATAAGTCAGTGGTGCACCATATAGAACATCTTCAAGGCGTTTTTCAATGTAGGCTAACTGGTGTATAAAGCTCCTTCAAGGATATGCTTGATCTTAGGCTAAGACAATACTTGGTATTTCTAAGTCTTTCATTTCAAACTCCGCCATAAGACACAAGCTAATATCATTAAGCTCTTTATATATATTTCAATAACTCCACTAGTAACTCTTTAATAAGCACATAATGTCACATAATGATTTTTACATATTCCTACTTCAGGAGGAAATTACTCAATCTATTGCTTATTGTCTCAAGTTAAGTAAAGCTTTTGTACTTCAACAACAAACATGTTGTGATATTTATTTTCTTTTATTCCAAGAATTATAAATCCATCAAGGATTTTCCCAAATAAATATTAGTGTCTAATGACCCATTATTATACGGTCATGACTTTCATCAGCTGGATATCTATATTTATTATTCTATAAATTATGTAGCGGAACATAATGACGTCCATTATGGAAGAGTATATCTGATTCTGGGTCTCTGTGTGAACCTTTTGGGCTACAAACTCGTTTAATATTACACCACCTTATCATTCTTGTTTCTCTTTCATATAAATACCCATTTGTAACCTACAAGGTTAATATTTTAATAGTGTTTATGTTATAAAGAGAATATATTTATAGTGAGCTGAGCTATATATATGCCTTAATTGCTCTTTTTATACGTTAATCAATCAAAGCGCTTTTGGCTCCTAGCTCTGGATCTATATTGTCATATAATATGAGTAATTTTGAAGGCAATTGTGTTGTCGACAACTATAATATTTTCATATATTTCTGACACATATATATAAAAATACATAGTAATTTCTAAGTCAACCATATTCTAGTCATTTTGTAAAGATATTTATATCTGGTTCTTTTGCATCCCAATATTATGATTATTTGATGCACCTATAAATTTACTAGGTTTTCTAGTCTTCTAGACAAACGTCTTAAAGACATAACTCTTTAAGATTTTTCAAGAGTGTTGAAAATTCATTACTAAATCTTGTTATTGTGGATTCTTATTTTTCTACACCAATTGTCCTCCCGCACTTCTTGTGCCAAGGAGCGTCGGTAGATATATATGGTCCAATTTGGGGAATGTGTATGAGACCTAAGCTAGTCACTCTTTTATGATTATTATAATCAATAGATATGTTTGGCAAATATTTGCAAATTAATTTCCTTATGAACTTCCATTCAATGTAATTGGTATGTGGGTTTTAATGTTGTAGATCATTTCTTTTCATGAAATCTCTCGGCATTCCATTTAAATTTGATCATATCTCATCCTAATGCCGTGAACCAATCTTCATGCAGTCAGCATATCCAATGATTCCCTCTCAGGGGCTCTAAATATTTAGACAACAAATGGAGGTATAGAGATACACTAGGGTGGTGATAGAGTAGAATGGACTACACACTTAAGAATAGAAACACATATTGGGAAATGTTTGATTTGAAACCACATATTAGGTATAAGGGGGAATAATGATATGCAGTGGGCCGGAGTTATACTATATCAGTAGAATGCAATATTGCATTTCCCCAATAAGTAACCGACAAACTAGACTTTTAAAATCATGGTCTTAATAAGAGATTCAGCTAAACCATGTTGTGTGTGGACATAAGGTATTTGATGCTCCACTTTAATGCCTGATGCTAAAAAAAAATGTAAGTCCTTGAAATTTTGTTTAAAATAAGTTGAACACACGAAACCTAAGGTTGAATATAAGAATAGTATAATTTTGAGGAAAAGGAAACAAGTTCTTCAATTTGACTTCCTGTTTTCTACTATTAACAAATTGGGCTATTATAAGGTATTCCAAGTCATGAACATTTCTGATTTCGTCATGAAAATCAATTGACTTAATGTCTTTAAATTGAGGGAGTAAAAGTGAAGCTCTACCGAAACCCACAAAGGACACATTATCGTCTGCAATAATGGCTGAGAGAATTTTGAGGTTTGCATATAAAGATTATCCAAAAGTAAATATCACTAAAAATACGTTGAATGAATTCAAATATATATGAACCTCAAAAAACAGGGAAAACTTTGTCAAAAGGCATTATTTATGAAATAAGGATCAACCATCGAACTCATTTTTTAGTAGGTCATCATCATTACCAACAAGAGTGTTTGCTTCAGGCAATGCAACATGGTTGGATTTAACCTTGTATTTTTCATTATCGTGCTTTTGCATTCGTTGGTAGGTTTCAACAAAATGTTTCGAGGTGTGGAACGTACGTGACTAGTGCCTTTTACACCCACACTTGAAGCATACTTGATGTTGGGCCAGAGTTCTAGTTGGATGAATAGGAGTGTGCAAACTTCGGATAATTTTCGGTTAACCGACCGAACCGACAAAGTTCGGTTAACCGTTTTCGAACCGAACTTTTTCGGTTCGGTTAATAGTTAAAGGAAATTTAAAACTTCGGTTAACGGTTAATTCGGTTCGAAATGTCGATTAACCGAATTAACCGAACGATTAACCGAAGTTTTTAATATATATATATATATATATATATATATATATATATATATATACATATATATATATATATATATATATAAATTCTAATTTGAAGTTATGGATGCTTGGAGTTTATAATTCATGTTTTTTTATATTTTGCTAAGAATTTATTATGATATTTATTTTATTTTAATTGGATTTATTATTTTAGGTGTTATTTTTAGAATTTTAAATTTTAGCTTTAAAAAGTTCGGTTAATCGGTTAACCGACCGATTAACCGAACAAAATTTCGGTTCAGTGAATTCGGTAGAGCAAACTTCGGTTCGGTTAATGGTTAAAGAAAAAAAAAAACTTCGATCAATTCGGTTTGGTTAAAACGGTTCGGTTAACCGTTCATTGAACACCCCTATGGATGAATGCACAACAATGAAATGCACAAATACACCGTACCACAAAAACGCACAACATACCCAAAAAAATGCATTATACCTCCCCACACCTAATTGTGCATTTTCGAACATTGTGTGGTGCTTTTATGGATACCTAATGGTGCATTTTTGGTGATGTGTACCTAATAGTGCGTATTTTGGTGTATTTGTACATTTTTGTTGTTGTGAGGTTTCCTAACACTATTGGTGCATATTTGCATAACTGTTGATGCGGCCGCACTAACCGCACGTTAAGGCGCGGCCGCATGCACCTGAGCTAGACTCTATCTCTCTCTCTCTCTCTCTCTATATATATATATATATATATATATATATATATATATATATATATATATATATAGTTAGAGGATCAAATGAGGTCATGTTTCTGTGTGAGGTTTGTGGTCAAATAATGACCCTTGATTTTAGTTAGATCTATGGCTATTAATTTTTGATTTATATTTAGGGGGATTTTATTTATGTGTTGCCGCCTCTTTAGGTGGGGTGTTTTTAGTCTTTGTATTTTTTTCCATCCTTTAGTTATTTATTTTATTTTGGGTGATTGCATGATTGTAGTTGGCTTAAATATGGTAATTAAGATTTTTTTTTTTTGATTCCCTGAGTTATTTACCGTGTCTCTTTATATTGAGCGCCTAGTTCACTGGTTTATGTTGTCTTGCTTTGTGTTTTGTCAGACACTACTGTCTCTTAGTTATCACTGGGTTTTTTTCTGCGGTTGGTGCTATGGATTCTCCAGGTGTGTATTTTTGTTGTCTCCAATATTTATTCATTGTGCATCGTTAATTGATGTTCGAATATATATTTCTTTTGTGCATCGTTGTTTCTGTTTTTTGTGTTTAGTTATGTATTTGTTTTTAAGATTGTCGTTGTGTGGGTTGTGGGTTATTAGTATTCATCGTTTTGTATGCATCATTTTATATGTATGTATTTTTATGCGCTCTTTTTGTTGTGCGTAATATTTTTTAATATTAATATACGGTTTTTTTGTTTGGGGGGATAAAGATGTTTACCGTGTGTGTTGTTAATATTCTCTATTTTAATTTTGTCATTTTGATTTTTTTTCCATCTTTTCATACGGGGTTGTTGCTTTCAACGATTTAGTTGGTTATTATCATTCGTTTGTGTTTTTTTTTTTTTTTTTTTTGTTTTATAGATACATATACTATGTTTGATATTGGTATTTATTTTTTAAAATTCACTTTCGTTATTGACTGTTGCGTTTAGTTTTGTGTACCTTGTTGTCGTTTTTTTAGTATTTGGTGCGGTAGGTGGTTTTTTACGCCCTGTGCATGTATGAGAGTTGGCAGTGTGCAAATGGAGTTTTTTTTTTCCCTTTTTTTTCGGTTTGTTGTGCCTTTTTGTTGCATGTTTGTACGCTTGTTTTGTGCGTAGTTGGCTCTAGTTTTTATTTAGGTTAGTTTCGCTTTTTTGTTTTGTTTTTTGTTTTTTGTTTTTTTTTTTTTTGTTTTTTGTTTTTTTTTGGCATTTCGGTGCTGTAGACTTTTTTTTACGTTGTGTGCATGCGTTGGGGTTTCATTGTGCACGGGGTTGATTTATTTTTTTCCCCTTTTTTGGGTTTTTTGGGTATGTTTTTGCATTTTTGTTAAAGTTTTGTAGTCTTGTTTTGTATCTAGTTCGTTTTTGTTTTTAGTTATGTTTTTTCCTCATTCTAAATTGTGCAATTTACCATGTTACTTTGTGCAACCAGTGTGTAACAAATTATGTTTCCAACTATAGTTTGTGCACTCCCACATTTGATTAGTGTGCAACCAGTACCTATATCCCCTATATCTGCAACAATTAATTGTGCACTACCACTTCTTGTAAGACTGCAAGGTAGCCCCCGTGTACATTGTGTGCAACTAGTTCCTTTCATTAGTTTGTCAATATTCTAAACTGTGCAGGTTGCCAATATATGTTTTTTGTTGATACTTGTTCTTTTTGCTCTGTGCATGTATGGGGGGTTTCATTGTGCTGACAGTGTGTTGTTTTCTTTGTTTTGGGCATATTGTGCATTTTTGTAACACGTTTTTAATCATGTTGTTTACCTAGTTTTTTGGGTTGGATGGTTGTGCAGTTCGGTCGAGTTCTCAACAGGCTTGTGTCATGGACGTGTCTCCCGATGGGACGAAGTATTTGAATCCTTCTTGTGATGAGGTTGTTAGTGACGTTGATATTCGTCCCCCTCCTCTCCCTAATAACAAGGGTTGTGGCAAACGTATCAAAAGTACGAGGGAGTTAGCTGTTGAGAAGTCGAAACGTCGTCAGCGACAATGCCACACATGTGACGAGTATGGCCATAATAGCCGTACTTGCCCCATGCGCTAAGAGAAAAATTAAGCTTGCTTTTGCATTGGAATTATTATTTGAGTCAGACTTTCATTTATTTATTTTTGTTTTAAGTTTTCTGCTCCTGTGGTGACTTTAGTCGTTTTGTTTTGTTTGAATAAATGTTTGGAGTTTTTTCTTTAAGTTTTATTTTCCATGTTATGTTCGTGTTGTGGTTAAATTTCATGATTTCGCAACTTGTTTTACAACCGTCGCACTTAATTTTCTGGGCACTATACCGGTCTTGCACAATATATTGTGGGTTCGTTGCACATCCACATACACATAACTTTAATCCTACCACTGTCTCGCATTTTCACCAATTGGTAATGGTTACTTACTTTTGCACCAAGATACAGAGTTACATTGGACTAGCCAGTCAATTTACAGGCCTCATTCGTTTGGCTCTTAAATTACAAATTGTGTTTACGTAGTTACGTACCTAATAGATTTTCGTATATCTATTTCGTTATTTCGGTGCACCGCTTCTTAACTATCAGGTGCACTTCTTTTTAAATCGTTTTTACCCTTTTTGCCTATATTATAGCTCTACCACCTACGACTGCAATTGCAGTGTTGTATTCATCATACTTGCACATTCCAGAGGTGGGGTTAATACTGGATGCACATTCAAGTGCAGAGTCTTTGCACAATTCCTGAATAATGAATTAATTGCATTTCTTTAAGCTTCAACTTTGCACATTCCAGTTTTGGGGATTACTGCTGTTTGCACTTTCGAATAAGTAGTCGTTGCATGAGTTATAAACGATGTATAAATTGCATTTCTATAACCTTCCTATTTGCACATTCCATCTTTGAGGCTTATTCTGATTGCACATTCAAGTACGCATTCGGTGCACATATCCTGATTAATAACTACCCATTTGTCGATTTTAAAATATTGCATCTTCCCATATTTGGGGTTCTATTAAGACATAGTCAGTAGCGCGTTGCATGTTTGTGAACCTAATGTTGGGAAAAACACAACACCATTCAGTACTAGTCCCCTTTTCTCGCAATGTATTTGCCGCCCTCACCCACCGCCGGTAGTCCTTGTCAGTAGCCCTAATCCACACCCACAACCGGTCATTTTTTCATAACCCAAAAAATACTGTAATTTGCACATACACAGAGCATTTGAACATGCACAATCTCAAAAATTCGTCAAAAAATGGAATGCACATACACAGAGCATTGGACGGTTTCTCCTGCAGAGGCTGAAACCGTTTAATTGTAATATGTTGTATCATGATCGCCGAAAGATGGAGCCGGAGTTGGAGAAGGAAATAGGTGCAAAATTTGAGGAAGATCTTGGCGCCATGCTGTCAAAATGTGACGTAGTTGTCATCAACATGCCTCTCACTGATAAAACCAGAGGGATGTTCGACAAAAATAGAATTGCAAAGATGAAGAAGGGAGTTCTTATAGTGAACAACGCCCGCGGAGCAATCATGGACACTCAAGCAGTTGTTGATGCCTATTCCAGTGGCCACATTGCTGGTTACAGTGGCGATGTTTGGAACCCACAGCCAGCTCCCAAGGATCACCCATGGAGATATATGCCAAACCAAGCAATGACCCCTCATATTTCTGGAACTACCATTGACGGACAGTTGTGCTATGCTGCGGGAGTTAAGGACATGCTGGACACAGAGACGGAGGCAGTATGGGGGCAGTGGGGGCAGCTGCCCCCACTCCCCCAACCCCACCCCTTTATATATATGTATGTATATATAGACATATATAGCATTAAATATTATATAAAATTTAAATTTATGTTTAATGTATTAATAGTGTATGGTCATAGGTTCGAATCTCATTACAAACACTTTTCCTTATCTTCACTTTTTTTTTTTTGAATGCTACTAGCTCTATTACATTGTAGTATCTGTTCATATACTTTCTCAACCTACTGAAACACAAAGAGCTAATAACGCCTCCACTGAGGCTCGAACTTACAACCTTCCTTATCTTCACTTATTTATTTTATATCTCATTCCTTCTCAAGATAAATATTTTTTAGCCTACTTTTATGAATCATTTAATTAACAAATTAAATGTTCTTTTAGTTTATTTTTTATGAATCATTTAATTAATATAGTAATGTAGTATACACGTTTATATTATACTTCATTTTATTCAAATTATTTTATCGAATTGATTATGTTTCCTATTTTGTCATAAATATTTTTACATTTTCACCTCACTCAAGTATATTTTTTGCTCCGACTCTAACTAATACTTTTACATTTTCACCTCACTCAAGTATATTTTTTGCTCCGACGGTAACTATCGTTTAATATATCAAAAATATTCTATTGCAATCTATTATAATATATTTTGTATTTTAACCTTATGACTGTTAGATATTTCGTAATTGATATTTCTAACCGTCATTTAAACTTCGCCCCCGCTCAAGTATTTTTCTGGCTCCGTCCCTGGCTGGACAAGTACTTTAAGGCGAAGAGTTTCCTGCACAAAATTACATTGTCAATGATGGAAAACTGGCAAGCCAATACAGATAAATCGCTTCTACTACTTCCCTGGAGTATTGATCGAGTGTCTAGCAATACAAGTGTAATAAATCGATCATTTTAAGGAGTTTAGGTTTTTCTACCAAAAGCAGTTGTGTTTGTGTGTTTCGTACTTTCGTGATGAATAAATGAAGAAAGAAGCTTGTATTAAATAAAAAAAAAAGTTTGCGTAAAAAATCAAAACCATAAACAACTGTTGGCTTACCGAGTTTGGTTGATGCCTCCAGAGATGCACGCCTTTTACTCCTTCTCGCACTTCCGTCCGCCATTATTCTCGGCTCTGTTCTATACCCCACCGCTTAAACAAGTTGTCGTTTGAGCTCTCGGGTTCGCCGTTCGTCAATGTGCACTGCGGACAACCTTCCAGATCTTTCGCCTGTTAAACCCTACGCGTTACTCCCATCATTTTCGCTTATTCCTTTTATTAATTGCACAATTAATTTGCATTTTTACTCTTTTACCCCTTCTATTGATTACTGATAATCTTATAACCCAAAAGTCCGCACGGTTTAATATAATTGTTGTGCAATCTGGTCCTTTAATTCCCTTGATCTGATGATTACAATTTGACCACAATCCTCACCTAATACCATGGTCTCACTTGAACCTCACCCTATATATATATGGAAAATGACACTTTTTCTCCTTGAGTTATATACGATAGCACTTTTCCCCTTGAATTATTTAGGTAAGCACATTAGGCCCCTCAATTATTCTAAAAGTGGCGGTTCCCCCCCCCCCCCCCCCCCCCCGATATATTAAATTGGCATTTCTACCCTTAAAGTAAACATTCTATTTATTTTTCTTCTCCAATAAATTATTGCGTATACGTATGGATGACCACAGTTCGGTTCGAACTGAACCGTACACTATAGCAATCGAATTAAAAGTTTTCGGTTATGATTCAGATCCAGAATCTAATATTTGGATTTCAGTTTATTAAAATTATGAATCGAAAAAATTGGAGCCTGAACCGTGAACCGACGGTTCCGGATCCGTTTCGCGATTTTGAACTGTATTTATTTTTAAATTTTATTTTTTTTTATTTTAAAATAGTCTAAATTCAACAAAAAATGTATTTAATCTTTTTCAGTTTGGAACATGAACCGGCGGTTTCCGGTTCGTGATTTTAATAAATTCTAAATACCGGGTTTTGATTTTAAATTGTAATTGGAATATTTCGGTTTGGTTGCTATGGTGTCTGTTTGAGTTGAACCAAATTGTGGTCATAATTTGTTGGAAAAGAAAAATAAATGAAATATGTATTTTAAATATTTATTTTAAGGGTAAATATGTCTATTTAATATTTCAGGGGAGAAAACAGCCACTTAAATAATTCAGGGGGAATAGTGCTATAAGTATATAACTCAGGAGGAAAAAGTGTTATTTTCCCTATATATATATATATATATATATATATATATATATATATATATATATATATATATATATATATATATATATATATATATATATAAAATTTTATTTTATCGACTTACTTCCACCTACAGTCGTAACTAAGGTGAAACTAAGGGACCATATAGTTAAGGATTTGTAGCCTAAGAATTATTTTTAAAAAAAACATTTTAAAAGAAAAATAATTTTTTTTGTTAGTATATACAAAATATCATGTTGTCTACTATTTGAGTAATTTTCCATTTTTTTTTTTCTGAATCCAGTTGACTAGATAAGGGTTGCACTCTAATTTTGATAATCTCACTATTCTATCATGAAAATGAACAACCACTAGTTAAATACAATGTGCATACACAGTAAATTTTACTCATGTATAATAGTTAGTAAATTACACAAAAGTGGTAAACCCTCTCCGGAGTCTCACTATTCTTGTTTTGAAGTTTTGATATGATGGAACAGGTAAATTAGGAATATGCTTCAATCGTATATATGTTTTCAAAGTAATTATATAATCAACAACAAAACAAATTCAATATCTTTATTTATGTAAGAATCAAATATTATATTTTGTGGGAAAAGAAAACTAAAACTAATTATCTGTTTAAATTAGATAGGGCAAATCTAGGGTGGGTCCAGAAATCTTCGTCATTGGGGGCGAAAGATTAAAAATCAATGAGATATTTTGAAAAAAAAAAATACTTAGAGACCAATCATAAATATTGTTAATTAGGATAAAAAATTAAAATACATCAAAATGAGATAAAAGAATATTCAAAACAAAATATGAAATATAATTAATTAGATAAAATAATTTGAATAGAAACCATATTATAATAAAACACTCATATCACTGTTAATATTTAAACCAAAAAAAAAAGATAAAAAACACAATTTTACAAATAAAAATTTCACAAAATATGAAATATAATTAATTAGATATAAAATTCGAATAGAAAATATATTATAAATCACTAATGGAAAAAATTGGAGAGCAATTTTTTTTCCTACAAGTAATGAGTTTTATTTGAGCTCGCAAGGAGAGAGAAGGTCATCTAGTGCCCATGGAGTGCAACATTCGTGCCCAATAAGGCAACTGCATAGCACTCGCCATGCTGGGCGCGTAAAAGCTAACTTTTACTCTTTTTTTTTGGTCAAGATAGTGTTGTTCTTTTTTTTTTTTTTTTTTTTTTTTTGAGTAAATACTCAAAATGGTCCCTCCACTATAGCTAAATTCACAAATTGATCATCGACTTTCAATTTTAACCAATTAAGTCCCTAACTTTGCAATTTTATCACGATTTGGTCCTCTTTCTATTTGACCGTTTGTTGACTATGATTTTTGAGGATATATATGTAATTTCATGGTTAATCGTTGGTTTTTTAAGGTTCCGGTTGCATTTCCAGACCGCACTGTTACATTTGAATCCACCGCCGAAAGCAATCTGCAAAGGCGAATCCTGTCGCCTTTCTTCATCCTCCCTTTGGATTCAATGTAGTTGAGTTCGTACCAGAGCGAAGAAGACAATGTGTTTCCGAACAGGTGCAGCGTCATCCTGGAGGCCTCCACGTGCTCCGACGAGAGTTGCAGTTTCTTCTAGAGATCGTTGATGACAGCGCGACCGCCAGCGTTGAAGCAAAAGTGTTCGAAGGCTTGTTTGAAGTCGGGAATGTAGGGTTTCCATTTGGGATTAAAGTTTTTCCAGTCGATTAGGGTGAAGAGGAAAATGAGCTGCTCTGACGGTGGAAGAACAAGAGGGCCGATTGTAGTTATGTTGGATTTGAGGGCTTCGCCGGCGATAACCATTAGGTCTTTTGAGAGGTTCATTCGGACTTTCCCTTACGGATCTTCCTGCTCGTAAACACAGCGGTAGACTTTATCGTTGGCGCCCTTGTGCGTGTGAACCACGTGCAAGAGCCGGTACTTGGCCTGGCCCGAATCGCGCTACTTGTTGGACACGAGAATCGCGACACCGCAAATGATGAATTATGCGAAGGTGTTTGGGCAGTAGATTGTGTCGTGGCAGTAGGTGAAGGCTAGGCAGTAGAGTGTGTCATGGCAGTAGATGAGGGCGGCTGGGCAGTGGCTTGTGGCTGGGCGATAGACTGTGTCACGGCAGGGGATGAGGGTGGGTGGCGATGAAATTACATATATATCCTCAGAGATCACGGTCAACAAACGGTCAAATAGACGGGGGCCCAAATCGTGTTAAAATTGTAAAGTTAAGGACTTAATTGGTTAAAATTGAAAGTCGATGACTAATTTATGAATTTAGCTATAGTTGAGGGACCATTATTGGTATTAACTCTTTTTTTCCCTCCCTTATTCTCTCTCCTCTCTCCTAGTGTATATGCAAAAAACTCATAAGAAAACTTCAACAAATGTGGTTGCTCTAATTAAGCTATACCTCGAGGCCCAAGACAATCAACTAGAAGTGTACAAATGGTAGCAATATACTAACAGCACGTTTGGTTCACGGAATGAATTTGGAGGGAATAGGAATGCTATTCCACAGGGAATGAAATAGGTAAGGAATAGAATATGAATTGTATTATGTTGTTTGGTTGGCAGAAGGAATATACTTTAGTAATTGTATTCCAGTGTTTGGTTGGTTAAAGAAATAGAAATGGAATAGGTTTTAAAGACATAAATACCCTTATACAAAATAATAATAATAATAATAATAATAATAATAATAATAATAATAATAATAATAATAATAATAATGAATATGATTATGATATACTGAATGTTATATATATATATATATATATATATATATATATATATATATATATATATATATATACACACATATATATGCATGTGTGTGTGAGAGAGAGAATAATAATAATAATAATGATAATAATAATAATAATAATAATAATAATAATAATAATAATAATAATAATTATTATTATTATTATTATTATTATTATTATACAAATACATATTTATATTTATATTTATATTTATATTTATATTTATTTTTCCACTTATCCCACATCGGTTGGAGAAGTAAGGAATGGAGCCTTGAGGCTCCTATAAAAGGAGCCTCAAGGCTCTATAATTTTAATTGCAATGCTCATTTGCTAGACACGCTTGCAATGCACATCTGCTAGGCATGTAGACGGGCATGCTACTTAACTTAGGAGCTAAGGCTCCATAATTAAGGAGTCTTATTATACAGTTAATTTTTTTTTTATTTACACACACACACACACACACACACACACACACACACATATATATATATATATATATATATATATATATATATATATAATGTCAACGGTGTTTTGAGAAAATACTTTTTTTTTTCTCAAAATGCGAATTGCAAACGCTGCAAAATGTGTGTGTTTGTGCATCTATATATTTAAATAGTTTATTTAAATATATATATATATTTATTGATAGATAAAAATTATAATTAATTAAATATATACATTTATATAATACTTTATATTTATTAAATAAATATAAATATTATATAATGTGCAAAGGGTATTTTTGGTATTTGTGATATAAAAGCTATTCCCAAGGGCATGGGAATAGCTAATACCAAGACCCCCCTAGGAATGGCTATTCCCCTTGCGAAGGTAATAGCTCATTCCTAGGCATGTTATTCCCTTGACAAAATGATCCAACCAAACGATGGAATATGTCTATTCCAAGGAATGCTATTCCATTCCTGACCTATTCAATGAACCAAACATGCCATAAGAGTAAACAACAATAGTAAAGTATTGGAGACTAAAAGTAGACACCAAGTCACCAACTACCCAACTCAACTATCAAGCAAGTTTGTTTCATCTAAACCTCTAAGATGCCATTGTTGGAATTTTTTTTTAGCATAACATGACATTTAAGTAGCTATATTGTGGTACAAATATATGTGGGTTCCACTTTTAAATTGGGTTGGATCAAAGTGGATTCAGGTTTTTCGTAGTGAGACTAAGAAATCAATATATTGTATGTTCAAAATTAATAATGAATAAATGATGCATTGATTTTTTAAGTAGACTCATTTGAGTTAGAAAATTGAGTTGCGAAGGCTTGTAAGTAACATTTGTCCCACATTGATTTGAGAAGTGGATTTGCACCACAATATATACAAAACCCATTTTAAAAGTAGTTTGAATTGTATAATATTGTATAGTATAGAGGTTTTTTCTAGTATGCAAGGGTGCAAATAGTGGGCACGAACGTCGTTCATAAACTTTAATTTTGATATGTAAGAATTAATTTCAATTTTAATTTTTATAATCAATCTCCATATTAAAGTTGTCAGTTAAGGCTTGGCCGATGGTTAGCTGGTTTTTGAATTCAGTTATGGGTTGGCAGATGGTTAGCTGATTTTTTAAACTTAATTAAAAATCCTTTGGTTTTCTCTCTGACATCTCAATATATTATTTTATTGAAAGATATTTTGTCAACACTTCCGTAAATAATATAAAGTACGTGCTTGATATTTATTCTAGTTTGCTAGACTTTTTGTTTGTGTGCTCAACACTAAAGTTGTAATCCATTTATCCTGCGAAACTGACACAAGAACACTCCTGCACCCTCAGGAGATAGTGAAATGATTTAATTTTAAGGAGAGTGTGTGGTACACACGATTTCAATTTCTTCTCCTTCTCATTTTTTTTTCTTGGTGAGTTTATACTATCCAAAATTGAAAATCCTCTTTCGGTTTGTGTGTGTGTGTGTGTGTATATATATATATATATATATATATATATATATATATATATATATGTCACGCCCCAAAAATGAGCGTAACCCGGCCGTATTATTACGACAAAAAAAAAAAAAATCGTTATAATACGAAGCCTGCTAAACAAAATATCAATCACAAGATAACCTAAACAACTTCTTGGTCTTAAAGTTCCTTCTCCCAAAGATAGCTTAATTGGAAATATAATATACACATTTAAGTTTCTAGACATGGTCCAAAATTACAACTTGAGATCCAAGGTCCTACTATGGACTTTGATCTCCACAAAAAGACTAGAAGTAGTCCTCCTCTATCACAAAACAGTAGACTAATACCCCATGGTCTTTAACCCCAAAATGTGACCTCCCTTGTCTTAACCTCGATCAACACTCTAATCTGAAAACATGAACACACAAGTGAGCTCAAAGCATGGTACATCATATAACACTTCTCTACCAAATAAAGTATAAAGAATAAAGATGACCACAAATAAATAAGGTAACATAAGATGTTTAATAAAAAGTATAATAAAAGCGTTAGTATTCTTATACAATTTTATCGCATAAGAGTATCAATAATTCCAAAGCTTTCCCTTCAAGTCATGAATCCTAGATCGGTGCTCAAATATCATAGAAATAAATAAATAAAAATATTACATACCTAACTCACCATTTTACTTTGAGAACTACAATATATTCATAGGATGAGCCAAGATCAATTAATAAAATTACACTAGTCAAGGGTAGCAAAGCTACCAATTAAAATCAAGGGAATGTTCCAAATCAAGGGTGGTGATACCACCAATTGGGAATCAAGGGAACATTCCAAGTCAAGACAAGGGTGGTTAGACCACCAATATGATTAATACCTTTGAAAATCTATATATACCATGATCAACATTAAAACGCATCAAATTCCCAAATTTTCACGAGATATGTACTAATTCTTTATCATACAAAACATGCCCATAATATTCAAGAATAGCTTCAATATTTTACAATCATTTAAGCTATGGTATATAAGTTACAATGAGTAAGTAAGTGCAAAGTTCCCTTACCTTAGTAAGCTTTTAAGCATAGAAATTCCTTTATGCCCTAACCTTCACGGTCACCTATCAAATACATACACCATTATAACTTACGAACATTCCAAATATTTACAAATTCTTCTTGTAAATTTATAAACAATCATGTTTTCCCCACACTAAAACAACCCAAAAAAAATATAAATAATGAGCCTAAGACCTCTATTACTCTCCTTGAAACAAGTATGGTCAAAAATTTAATAAAGAAGATGTAGCTCATTAGAGAGAAAAATCAGCCGCAACATGGGTAATAAATCGTAGATTTGCAAGGAAAATAAAATAATAAAATAGCACATAACCCTACTAAAGCCATCCCAAAACACCCACTTTAAAAACAACCCTGGGCAATTTCAATTCTTCACTAGAATTCCCATTCTTGAGCTTCGAAATACAACAAAGATTAACAGGGAAGCTAAAGTGTTTAATATCTTCTTTTAACAACCAAAAGCTAAATTAATTACCTTGTCTTTTTTATTTTGAGCACAAAAACAAAACCTATTGCTTTCTTCCTCTTGTTACGCCAAAAGCAGAATGTGTGCCTCTTCTCCCCTCTTTCTTCTCTATTAAGTTTCCAGAATAATCCCCTTCCCCCTAATGGACTTCTCAAGCTTAAGATATACAATTATTATTGGGCCCAAGAATAGACTAAGCCCAAATCAAAACTTAACCAACTAAATTATAATTTGGGCCTAGGTAGAATAAGACCTAAAATATCTAGTTAGCCTATTATTATTATTATTACTATCAAAAAAAATGAAAATTTGTCATTACATACTCTACCCCTTAATGAAAGTTTCGTCCTCGAAACTTACATACCTTCCTCCGTAAAGAGCTCAGGATAACATTCTCTCATGATCTCCTCTCGTTCCCAAGTAGCTTATCTTGATGTGTGATTAGACCATTGTATCTTGA